TAGATTTTGTTAATCTGTATCTCTTTTGTCTGTCTGAGTATATTTGTGTATGAGAAAGATAGATAGATAGACAGAGAGGATGGATAGGGAGATAAAGACAGAGGAGGGATATAATATTTATTTATAATACGAGAAATCGTTTTGCTTGTTGAAATAATATTAATGATAAAAAATTAAGAGTTGAACAATTATTGTAGTTTTGTTTGCTTGTTTTTGGTTTGGTATCTCTTTTGTGCATGTTTGTATTTGTGTGTGTGTAATATGTGCATGTTTAAATGAATGGCATAGCACATTCTGTACACGTATCTATCTGTTTATATCTATATATCTATCTGTCTATCAATTAATTTCGCTCTCATCACACTCTCTCCTTATCGACTAGTTATTCTTCATTTATTATTTTACACGCTGGCAGCAAATTTGATTGACTTTTAACCTAAGAAAAATAATCTTTCCTATTTACAGTTTTCTTAAATCCACGTTATTCACCTTCCTCTCTTTCTCTCTGGCCTTTTTATTTACTACTTAACCTGTATGCTCGACATTTTGTCAAGAAAACGTTTAGGCTCATTCTATATATAGGACAACATTTATTCATAAAGGTGTAATATTATTGCAAAATCTCTCTCTCTTCTCTCATCATCCTTCTGTGTCCATTTATTTAGCTGTCTATCTAACAATCTGTCACTCTCTCACTCTTTCTCCTTATCCACTGTATAAATATATATATATATATATATATATATATATATATATATATACATATATATATATATATATATATATATATATATATAGATAGATAGATAGATAGATAGATAGATAGATAGACATATAGATCGATAGATAGATAGTTTATTTGTTTGTCTCTGGTTTGCGGTGTAATTATCGTAAGAACATGTGTAGTTTGAATATAGTTTCTCTATTTGTGTGTGGGAATGAGAGAGGGAGAATGAAAGAGACAGACAGATAGAAATTTGGAAAGAGTTAAAAAAAAGAACACGCAAATGATGAAAACAATAATAATAATAGTGGTATTAACTGGAACAACAGTGGTTATGAAAATAATTACATGTTCAATAAATAAGAGAAACAGAGATATGATTAAATAATACTGGTACAAGTATACCGATGATTTGAATTATAGGAAGCAAAATAGTATTCTTTTGTATCGTAAGTTTTATCTCACGTAACCTAAAGAATTCCAAATCTTTCACTTCCCTCTCTGTTTCTCCTTCTTTTTTTTCTCTAGCCTTTTATTCACTACTTAATCTGTATCCTCGACAACTTGTTATGAAAACGGTTATGCTCATTATCTGATTCTTTATATAGGCCTGTATTTTGTATAGAGGTATTATCTCTCTCTCTCCCTCTCTCCTTTTTATATATCTATCTAACCGTCAGTCATTCTCAGTCTTTCTTCTTGTCACTAGTAGATATTCTTTATTTGATATTTTGCACACTGGCAGCGAGTTTTATTGAGTTTTGTCCTAAAGTGTCAAATGTTTCCTGTTTACAGTGAAGTTTTATCAAGCCGTAGAGAGTGAAGCTATTGGTTCATAATCGCAACTGGCGATGTACGCGCTAATTTTATTATTATTATTTCTTAAAATCTAACACATATGCGAATTGTTGATTAAATCAATACATATATGGCGACGAAATCGAGAGTCCCCCGCCTTCGAGGCGGGGGGACCGGATGATGTTTAATAAAGTGCTATTCGGAGTTAATAAGCTGCAGATTTTGCAGTTTGGTTGTTTGTCTTTGTTTTGTGATGTAATTATCGTTAGACTATGTTTTTTTATTTTTTAAACTGTATATTTGTGTGTGAGAGATAAAATAGAGATAGATAGTTAGATAGATAGATAGGTAGATAGATAGATAGATAGATAGATAGATAGATGGATAGATAGATAGATAGATAGATAGATAGATAGATAGATAGATAGATAGATAGAGAGAGAGCACATTTGCTTATCTGCGTGCGTTTATAGCTACAGACCAGAAAGGTAGGTTATAAAGACGGACGGAAACGAGGATGATGCATAGAAAAATAGAGAAACATGAGAAAAAACTGCTAAGAAACGTACCACTGATAATCAGAGTTACAGTAGTAAAAATGTATATCAGTATATTGATAATGGCAATAAATGATAGTTACAAAAGATAATGGTAACAGGAATATGTAGGATGAAAATGGTAAAATGATAACGGTTGTTTGAATTATAAGAAGTATTTGGTATACTTTTATATCACGTAAATTCATTATTTTTCTTCACTCTCTGTCTTAATCTTCACAAGCATCTCTCTGTCTCTCTCTTAGATCTCTCTCTCTCTCTCTCTCTACTAGTTCTCTCTCTCTCTCTCTCTCTCTCTCTCTCTCTCTCTCTCTACTAGTTCTCTCTCTCTCTCTCTCTCTCTCTCTCTCTCTCTCTCTCTCTCTCTCTCTCTTTCTCTCTTTCTCTCTCTCTCTTGTTATTTTGTTATTTTCTATTTCCC